ACATCCCTGAGAGACACATCCCTGGGAGGATCATCCCTGGGAGGAACATCCCTGAGAGGAACATCCCTGAGAGGAATATCCCTGCCAGGAACATGCCTGAGGATGTCTCGTCTGTCACTCTGAGGTGTCACACGTGGCTTTTAGCTTCTCCAGAGCAGCCAAGGTGGAGCTGGAACCTTTCCATGGCACTCTGGGATGGGGGAACTGCCTGGCTCAGCTTCCTGAGCTGAGTGTGGCGGCCCTTGCCAGGAGCCCCGGGGACCTGGACAGCCGAGCCACGGGCAGTGTCCCCTGCCACTGGATGTCACTGTGCTCTCAGAGATGAGCCAGCTCCTAGCCACACGCCCCCATCACCGGGAGCACTGCCCCCAGGCCAGGCTGAGATTCAGGGAACGCAGTTTCTCTCTCTGATCCAGCCTAAATCTCCAGGTCACTTCAGCCCTATGGATTATTTTCTTTTCATGGGCTCGTATCGGGCAAGGTGTGAAGAGCAGGGCCTGGAGAACCTCTGCCAGGCTCTCCTGGCCCCACAGCCAGTTCCTGTGGGACTTGGCTCACACCTGTGGGCATTTCCTGCAGCCACAGAGGAACGGGGGGGGGGGGGGGCCTGAGCCAGAAGGGAGAATAGGGACAGTGTTTGTGGCCAAGGCAGCCTCACACCCTGCAGGACAGCAGAGCAGCTCAGGGGCCTCTATCTGAAAACCACATCTAGAGACAGCTCCTCACCCCTGCCTGAATCACCCACACTCTCACTACCAAGTTTTACCTTTGAGGAGAGAAAGAGGAAGAAAATTTCACCAGAAAATCCAAATGCCCAGCCACAAACCAAGGCCCAGGTGCTCCAAGGACTGGCAGGCTGTGGGTTATTGGTGCAGTCCTGGGGATGATCCACCAGGAATTACCAAAGCTCTTTGCAAACCTTGTGCCAGTTTACTCAGGCCAGTTTGCTCCTGTGCTAAAATAGGTGCCACAGTGGCTGTGAGCAGATTAAAAGGAGCTCTGGTGGTGCATCAGCCTGAGCTTTGAAGGGGCTGCCAGAGGAGCAGGGAGGGGAGGGTTAATGTTGTAAGTCCGAATTTAACCCTTCTTTGCTCTCCTGTCAAATGCCAGGCTCCACTCTGATACCATTTCAGAGCAAAGCTGGCAGGAAATAAATCAAATGGTGCCACAGGAAACCCTGCAAAGCCCCTGCAGGTACAGGGAGGTTTTGGCAAAGCTGCTCAGCAAAGCCCTGTTTGCTCCCAGCATCTGATGCAGAAGGAGGTACCAGGGCTCCTGAGCACCCCAAACCCAGCAGAGTAGGAAATCTGTGACCCTGTGGGGAATTTCAAGGCTCCCTTTGCTGAGCTGAGATCCTGCAATGGCCCTGCCAGGACCACTGGCTCCAGCTGAGCTGAGCTCCAGGGTTGCCAGCTCTAGGAGCTGGCAGGGAGGGATGAGCTGGGGGAATGGGGATCCAGGCTCGGATCTGCTGGGAGCCCCCAGACCCTGCTGGCTCTGCAGCAACTCTGCCAGCCCTTGCAGGGCCACTGAAGGCTGTGCCACCCACCTTGACAGAGTGCACCTGGAAGCAGACGGGCTGGGTGCCCATGCGGGTGTAGTAGGCGATGACATCGGTGAGGAACAGGTCGGTCACCAGGGCCCTGCTCGGCGACGACGGCTGGGGGGCAAATCACAGGCTGGGTCAGCCCCTGCCACTTCTCAGAAACCCTGCCACAAAGTCTTACACCTTCCTGGGCACAGAGTGAGGAATGAGCTGTCCTCTGGCCTCGCCACTCACAGGGCGTGGGAGCTGCGCCCACCTCTCAGCCCTTTCTGTGTAGGCTGCCAATGTTGGCTCAAACTGCCGGGAAATGAGAGCTGGGGGGATTTCAGCAAAAGTTTCCTCTCTTGAAATCTGCCATTTCCTGTCCCCTGGTCAAAAAACCCCATCACAGCAAATGGCTCTTGTGGGCTGGGGCAGTGTCAGACACGAGCACCTCCTGGCAGGGCCCTGGGGAGGGTTTGCAGGAGAAAATCTCAAGTCTGGGGATGGAGAGCCCTGCAAGGCACAGACCCCTCCTCAGGTGCTGCAGGTGTTTTCAGGAAATGGGGAGGTTTTTCTCGTACCATGGTGGCCAGCTTGGGGATCATGTGACACAGGGTGTTGATGTTGCTCTCGTACCAGGGGTCAGCCCTGCTCAGGTACCCGGCCACCTCACACAGCTCCTCGGGGCCAGTGTGGTCCTGCAGGGGAAACACAGCTCACAGTCACTCCAGCCTGGGGATTGTTTGCTTTTACTGAGCTTGTATGGAGCAAAACGTGAAGAGAAGGTCCTGGAGAGCCCCTCCCAGACACTTCCAGCCCTAAATCCAGCTCCTGTGGGACTTGGCTCACACTTATGGGAAGCCTCCTGCAGCCGAGGAGGAACAGGGGGGTTCACAATGTCAGGAGCCATGAGGAGATACAGAGACCTGTGAGATTCCCCCATCCCTTCCCTTTCCCTGCTTCACTTCCATGGGGAATGAAAAAAAGGAATACCGATTCTTTTAACAGCCTGATTGTCAGGGTCACAGCTAGCTCTGGGGCCAGCTTAAAATATCCTAAATGCAATTATTTATTTACCTCCGTCTCGAGGCTGTGCGAGGGGAAGGGATGTGCCTGACATAACCCACAAGTAGAGACTCACAGACCTAAAAGCGGGGCCATGGCTGAAGAGGCAAAGCCCTCACTGAGCAGCAACTGCTTCTCCTCAGCATCTGGGAGGTGGGAAAAGCAGCAGCCCTTGGCTAAACCTCACAGATCCTCCTGCAGCTGAGGCCTGGAAGCAGAACTGAAAGAGCTGTGACTCCAAACTGGCTCCAGCACCTCCGTGTTGGCTCCCACCCTCCTTGTTCTGGGACCAGGGCAGGAACGGGCTGGAGTTCCTGGATCCCCCTGCTCTTGCCCAAACACCCATCCCCAGGCTCTGCCCGGCACTGACCGCAGCGGGGTGTGGCTGCCCTGCCAGCACGGGGATGTGGTAGAGCTGCAGGTTCAGCCTGGGCGTCAGGAACACTCGCCGGGCTTCCCGTTTCCTGAAATGAGAAATGAGATGTCCCGAGGGAAGAACGTGGCTCCTGGGCAAGGCTGGGCAGTGCCAGGACACTGCGGCTGCTCTGCCACCTGCCCCCTTCACTGCCTCCTTTCTCAGGATGTGCCCTGGGTTCCCAAATCAAGCAAGGGGAGGTGATGGGGAGCGTCAGAGAGATTTTGTCAGGGCCTGGTGTCCCTGTGCGCCCAGCTCTGCTCCCCAGGCTGCCCGCACTGTCACCCACTCCCACCCCACCCCTGGGGAACCTGATGGGGACAGCCGGCTGGGAAACGGATTCTCTGTAGAATTTTCCCCTTCGACATGGGATAACACCTTGCCTCGTTCGTTGTTCGTTTAACCGAGCCCACGGACAGAGGGGAGGACTCGCTCTGTGCATCTCTTGGGCCAGGAGAGCAGCCGGTGGCAGTCGAACAGCCGGGTCCCAGCCCACCCCAGGGAACGCTGAGCCCAACCCCGTCCCCGGCCACCCCGGCGGCTCCAACAGCCTGAAGGGCAAAGCCCCTGAGCCCGGGCGGCCCCAGGTACCTGAGGGAGTGGAAGGCTTGTGCCAGGCGGCCCAGGATGCGATCGTCCCCCAGCAGCACCACGCGGGCGGTGTGCAGCCTCTGGAACGGGGCCGCGGGCTCCGGCGACATTCCTGCCCTCCTGGGCAGCTTCCCGGGGGGCTTCCCCCCGGGCACAGCGCTGCCAGCCTGCAGCAAGGCCACGCTCTCCAGCGGGGACAGCTTCTTCTTGATGCCACCCTTCCTGTGGAGCCGGGAGCGCTCGGAGTCCGCAGCGCAAGGGACACAGGGGGCACAGGGGCCGCAGGGCTCCTCCTGCGCGGGCAGGTCCCGCTCGATGCCACTGTCCGTGGACAGCACGGAGAAGCGACTCTGCTCGCAGCAGCCGCAGTCCGTGAGCATGTCCTGCATCTCGAGGGGGTCCAGCTCCTGCCCGAGGCAGTCGGGCTCGCAGCTCTGCGACAGTGGGCGGAGGAACAGCACCAGCTCCTTCCCTGCGGGCACGGAGCGGCTTCAGCAGGGACAGGCAGGCACAGCCGGGCTCAGCCCTGTCCCCCGCGGCTTACCCCCTCCCAGGGACACCGCAGAGCTGAGATCTCTGCAGCGGCTCCAAGGGCACTCAGCCCTTCAGTCCCACTTCCCATTGAGAGAGCTCAGTACCACTCCAATCCCAGAATCCCAGACTGGTTTGGGTTGGAAGGGACCTGGAAGATCATCCCGTTCCCATCCCCTGCCGTGGGCAGGGACACCTTCCACCAGAGCAAACTGCTCTGAGCTGCATCCAGCCTGGCCTTGGAGACTGCCAGGGGTCCAGGGGCAGCCACAATAAAGTCAGGTACTCTGGGCACATCCTGCTGCAGCCCCAGCTCCTTCACCCCTTCACACCCCAAATCCTCTGACCCGGCCCCAGCAGTCCCCAGGAAGGAGGGCTGGAGCAGCCAGCACAAATCTCCACGAGCTTGGCTTGGAACAACGGTTCCAAAACTCCCTGCCCAAGGGTCAGGGCTAAGTGACCCCTGTGGGACAGGATCCCCAGGCTCAGACCTCACCCAGCTCCCCCCAGCCCCGGGGCACTCACAGAGCTGCTCATCTTCTGTCCACAGGTGGAAGCTGATGCTGGGGTTGGGCAGAGGGGTCCCCTGCAGCCCTTCCTGGGGAGCATTCCCTGGGAAAACAAGGATGCTTGGAGCACATGGGAGCATTTCCCCACACAGGAGCATGAACTCCCAGTGCTGAGCACTGGCTGAGCAGCCCTGGGGCTCTCCCATCCCAGTGTTCCTGGCCAGATGTGAGGCTGTGAAGCTTCTGCTCTCACAAACTGAGCCCTCATGAAGTGTCTACACCATCGGTGGGAGGGAGAAATGAAAAGGGCATAACTGAGGCACGGGCAGGAGTGAAGGACCTCACTTTGCAGCCAGCAGAGAGACTGCAGAATAAATAAACCTTCCTCTAGCACTGAGCCTCCAATGCACGTGGTGATCTGAACCCTCTGATCCCACCAGCACCGGCTCTTTTAACCCGTGAGAGCTCTGTGGCAATTGTGGGACAATTTAATACTCATTGCCCCCAAAAGGTGATGGTCCCACGCCCCTCCTGGCGCCACCGGCTGCTCCTCCCAAAATCGTTCATTGAGACACTCTCCAGCCTTCTGGGGAGGGGCTGGGACACAGGGAGTAGCCAGCAGAGGGACCATGACCCCATTTCCCTCTGGCTACCCCAGATCTGTGAAGGATTGGGATTTTGTTACAGTTTGTGCAGCTCCAGTGGCACCAGGCTGGAACAGAGCATGGCAGGGGTGGCAGGAGATGGCAGTGCCACCATCCAGCACATCAGAGAAAGGTTTGGGCAGGAAGGGACCTTAAAGCCCATCCAGTTCCACAATTCCTGAATCAGCAGCAGGAATTTCCATTGTTCCTTTCCTCAGTGACAAATCTGCCTTCCAGGGCCAGTCCTCCCTACTCGCTATGGGGTCAATGCAGGGAACCTGATCCTGCTGCTAAAGGGACACAGTGGGGACACGAAGGTCCCTGTCCCAGTGGGAATGTCTGCCTGGAGCTCACCTGCGGGTGAGGAGCCCAGGAGGTCGTGGTAGATCCTCTCCAGCCGTGCCGTGTGCTGGCCCCGGTCTGAGTTCCCCTCGCTGCCCGTGCCCTCCATGGCTGCCACCACCTGCTGGAACCAGTGCTCCACGTCCCCTGGGGGCAAGGCCTGTTGGGAGAGGGGCTGTGAACACCTGGAAACAGGGAATAGTCCATGGGCACGGCAGCGGGACGGGCAGAAAGAGCAAATGAGTCCTGCAAAAATTGCTTCCTAGGGGACACAAACGTTCTCTTGTCCCCAGGACAGACGCTGGCTGTGCTGGCTGCTTAAAGCTCCTTTGCTGGCAGCTTTGCAGCTGATGGGCACTGTGTCCCTTGGGGCATCCTCAGCAGTGCTGGCACTTGGGGTGACTCTCAGGGGATGGGGACAGCAGGCACAAAAAGGTGTCCTTGCAGTGGAAAGTGCCGAGAGCTTCTGCAAAGTTTCTGAGCAGACATTTCTGTTACTGTGGCCCCACAGCTCCTTCCAGGAAGTTTTGGAGAAAACAGATTGAAACCTTTCCCCTGAGAGGTTCCTGCAGTGCCCAGGGACTCCCAGAGGAGATAACAGAGGCTCTGCTTCAGCTTCAGTTTCTGCAAAACCAACACTCAGACTAAAGGTTCCAAACTCTGGCTCTGCTGTAGCTACTGTTTTCCATCTGAAGGGTGTTTGGGTTCAATCCCAGCCCAACTCTGGGGCTGCTGGGGCTGGAGATCAGCGCTGAGGAGCTGGGGGGGTTTCTGTACTTGCCAAAACACCTTTTGCTTGTCCAAGGTGTCCAGCCAGAGCAGGACCAATGGAAAAGCACCGGAGGAGCTGCTGCATTACCTGGAGTCGGGCCCTGAGGCCGTGGATGTCACAGGTGTCACCCAGAGCTGCCTGCAGGGCGTGGGTGACCACACAGCTCATGCAGCCCTGGGGGCTTTGGGACACCTGGGCTGCCTCGGTGTCGGTGACCAGTGCATTGCAGATGGCTTCGGGCAGCAGCTCTGGGTCAGCAAAGATGAAAATCCTGGGGAGGCAGCAGGGTGGGGAAATGCAGATTCACATCAGCAACATCAGGGCTGGCAGGAGCAGCTCACGTCTCACTTTTTCCAGTGTTGCTGTTGATATTCCCCTTCTCCACCTGTCTCCCTGCCAAGGGCAGCTCCCTGCCTCCCAAAATAATTTGGGACACAGGAGGAATGTGTCCTCTCAGTGCAAAGTTTTAGTGAGGTACTGGATGTCACCCAGCTGCGTCCCCCAAGACCATGTGGTTTAGGCCCAAGTTGTCTATTCCAATCAAGACTAATTCAAAGTGTTGGAAAAGGACAGGTTTCCATAAGAGACCACAAAATAAAAGCACCAACCCTCCCCGAGAGGCAGCACTCACTTCTCCTGGTAAGGGAACGGGGCGCTCGGCAGGCTCTGCTCAGAGATGACCATTCTTTGGTACAAGGTTCCTGGGAAGGGCAGAAACACACGGAGTGGGAGCAGCAGGAATAGTGCAGCTCTCAGGGCTGCCCAGGGCTGCTCCCAGGTGTAGAGGCTGAGGTGGCTCTGCCAAGTCAGGGAACACCCACTGAGATGAGATTAAACAGCCAAGAATTGGGCCAGAGCTAAAAACAGCCAAGGACAAAGATAGGACAGGCTCCAGAAAAAGAAACCCCCTTCTATTCTGGGATGATTTCCTGTGTTTCCCTTCCTTTGTTTAGGGCTTTATGAGCTTGGGAGCAGAGTAGGAGGCAGGAGGAAGAGCTCTGTCCCCAGGGCCACATGGCGACCATATTTGGGAGTGTCTGAGGAGCACCAGGGATCTCTGGATCAGGAGAGAGGCTCTTTCCCTCCCCCTGCTCAGGGGTGAGGATCCATCCACCTGCCCTGGCCCAGGGACAATCCTCCTGTGAATCCCGTGGTGCTCTGAGGGGAGCCCTGCTGGAGATCCTCTCTCTCCACACTGAGGCATTCCTGTACCAAAAATCAGGGAGATAAAGGTGCCCCTTGGAGCCCCAGCCAAAGCAGCGCTGGGGAGGAGCATCTGGGGTGCTGGGGGTGGGCTGAGGCTCCCCAGAATGGCACCAAAATTCCCCACCAGGTTTCTCCTGTTTCACCTCCCCCTCACAGGGTGTCTGCACCTTGCTCTGCTCTAAAGGATTGCTTTGAAAGGCTCCTATCAAAGAAAATTTTAACCAGAAGAACTTCAATGAGAGCAGAGAAAAAGAACACAAAAAAAGAAACCAGGTGTCCTTGTGCTTGCTTCCTCCATGGGGCTGTTCCCTGCAGCCACCACTGACATCTCAGTACCCATGGGGCTGCTTTAGAGCTGATTTTCTTCAGGTCATCCCTCGAGGGCCCAGCCCTTCCCAGTGTCAGGCTGGGATGGGGCAGGGCACCCCCTTACCTGGTGCTGTCCTCTCCACCTGCAGCCTGCTGGCATAGTCCAGCCCAATGGTGCAGAAGGGCTTGGGCAGGGTCAGCAGCCTCTTGCAGAAGTCATAAACCCTGGCACAGAGCTCATCAGGGATGCAGGGAGCCTGCAGTGGGACAGGGAGTGACAGGCAGTGATCCCCAAATCTGCCCCAACACATCCCCCAGGCTGGGAAAGCACCAAATTCACTGCACCAAATTCACTACGGATTTAAATGCAAACCACGAAGCAGAATTGGGCCCTGCAACAGTTTGGGAACCTCCAGCAATACCCACTGAAGATTTGAGACACTTTTTTTTTTTTTTGCCAGGTTGTGGCTGCCTGCACCACCACACACTGAAAGGCCTCCAGAAAAGGGGTCAGGTGGAAGGACCTGGCACTCTGTGTGTCACAGGGACATGGGAAATGCACAGCTGAGCCCACCCGGGGTGTCCCAGGGCTTTGCTGCTTCTGAGTGGCTGTTCCAGGTGAGTGGCCCCTCCTGTGGCCCCTGATGTCCTGGCTGCTGGCCCAGTGAGGCCCAGGGCAGGCTGGTGTATCAAGGTGCAGGTCCCTTGTGAAGGCACAGCTCACCTGTATAAGGGTGTACATCAGCGTGTGCAGCAGGGGGATGATGTAGTGCCGCAGGTCCCCTCGCTCTGCCTGTGGGAGCAGAGGGCAGGGAAGGCACAATCAGGTCCTGGCAGGACTATGAGCTGGGCAGGAGCAGCCCCAGAGCTCCCAGGGTGTGCCAGGTTCTGTCTCTGAGCACAGGAATTCATCCTGGCTTAGGGGGTAATCCCTAGGTCGGGGTGGGCTTTGGGATCCCTCTCCAGGCTTTTAGGGTGGGTAGGATGTCCCTGGGGAGGGGCACAGGGGATGGTGGGAGGGGGTGAGAACAGGTTTCTAACTGAGCTCCTTTCCACTCCCATGGGGACACAAAACCTCCGGGAATATCCTGTCTTGGGTTTGGGGGTGTTTTGTTGGGGATGGGAGCAGAGGGAACAGGGAGATGTTCCCATCCTGTGTCCCAATTCCATGGGAATCCCCTCCCTGCAGCCCCTCCCTGCAGCCTGGCCTGGCTCTAACAACAGCTTCAGCATTGGGAATGCGCCTGGATAAACCTGGGAAAGAGATTCCCACCCCACAGATAATTCTGGCCCCTTTCCTCAGGGCTGCTGAGCTGATGGGTCCGAGTTAAATGGAGATGATGGCAGCAAAGCCTGAGAAAACATCAATAAAATGAATTGCAGGGAACTGCTGAGTTGGTATCAGCCCTGGAGGAACTCAGGCATGAAATTGCCAAATTATCATCCCTGCTTGGTGCTGATGGCTCAGAGCTGCTGAGGAGTGAAAAAAACCACAAAAGCCCCAAGTGACAGGGATTTCCTGGAAGAGCTTCAGGGAGAGGAAGAGAATTAGGGAGCAGGAGGGATGACACCCCTGCTGGGCATGGGAAGAGAAGAATGACAGACTCATAATAGCTAGAGGGGAGGACCAGCCTGGCTTCTGCAGAGGAAAACAGCCCTCAAACCTCAGCGAGAATCCCTGAATCCACAGCCAAGGGTGTTCCTCTCTGGATTTGTGAAAGGCACTGGATAAAATCCCTCCCCAAGGCAACGATGGAAGCTGAACTGCCACAGCAAAAGAGAGAGCCCAGAAATAACCCCAGAGCTGCTTCAGAGGCTAGGACAGGGATTGGGATCACTGCTGGATATTCACAAAACTGGGTGGGATCAGGGCTGGGCTGGGACAGGGATTGGGATCACTGCTGGATGCTCAGTGCTGGGTGTGTGCACAGGGACCTGGGCAGGGCTGGCACACCCCGTGGGGGGGAACTCGGGGATCCTGAGGGAGGTGACAGGCTCAGCAGGGTGCTCCAACCTCCCAGGTCAAAGGATAAATAGCAAAGATGCAGAGAAAATGGCCCAGGGGGGTTTCTGGACAGGGGACGAGGAGTGGGGGCTCAACTGTGGGGTGAGGAGGAGCAGGAGGAGAATGAGGGCTCTGGGTAAACTGAGGCAGGCTCAGAAGAAAGCAAAGGTGCTGCTTCTCCACACGTCCCCAGCCCACGAACCAGCTCACAGCAGGATGCAGAGGCTGCTGCAGGTTTGTACCAGAGCAGAAGACGATGTGAGAAATCAATGAAAGCAGAACCCAGCACAGGTTTCACCGATGGCTCCAGGGCGGGTACAGGGTTGTGTGGGGTGGAAATGAGAGAAATGGGGGAGCAATTTCTGCTCTACCTGAGGCCACAGAGGGTGGAGTGGGGGAGGTTTGGGGTGGTTGGGAGGGTTTAGCAGTGTGAGGGCTGCCTGCCGTGGGCTGCAGTGCAGGGAGGAGCCTGGCGGGTTCCTGCCTGGCTCACTCTCTCTTCAGGAACAAAGCCTGGCCCCTGAGCATCGCTGGGACAAGCCTTGGGGTCCTGCAGGGTTTTTCACTTTGTGCGGAGTCCCAGTGCCCAGCCAGGCCCCAAAGCCCTAAAACCCCTGTCTGGGGTGGAGTTGAGACCATCCCTCTGCCTCCCCCAGCTCCGGCAACAGAGGGGCCAGCCTGGCATGCAGGGCTCTAAGGTAGCACTGTCCTCTCTGAGGTGGCACTGCTCTCTCTGAGGTGGCCCTGTCCTCTCTGAGGTGGCCCTGTCCTCTCTGAGGTGGCACTGCTCCTTCTGAGATGGGACTGCTCTCTCTGAGGTGGCACTGTCCTCTCTGAGGTGGCACTCACCCTTTCCAGCTCCTTCACCAGGATCCTGACCAGCACACAGCTGGTACTGGGATTCTGGTCGATTTTCTTATGCAGGGTCCAGCGCAGCATTCCTGCCAAGGGAGAGCCAGGGAAGGTCAGGTCACCAGGGGAATGATCCGGGTGAGTTTTCCCAGGGGAACCAGGGACCTGAGCACCGCAGTGCAAAACATCCCCTCTGGGACGCTGCTCTGACATCACTGAGAGCTAAATCAGACTCCTCTGCCCTCTGCTTCCACCTCTGCCCCTCTGCAAGGGCCAGGCCAGCCCCTGCCCTGCTCCAGATACAGCACTGATGTCTCAGATCTAATTCTGGGAAACCAGGAATGGCTCCTGGAGATCCTAGGGCTGGGTGCTGGAGCAAAGCAAGGATGTGAAGTTTGTTTCCTGTTCCTCTGTTGTTCTGTTTGTGCCCAGCTGCTTTCCCCACCAGCTCCAAGGAATTTGGGATCCTGCTGCTCCCAGCACTGGTCCCTGGCTGCCAACAGCTCACCATCACAGCAGGGACTACAAAACCTCTCAGCCCTGAGGATGCCATGGCTCATTTCAGGCAAAATCAAATTTAATTAACTAAAATATCCTGTGAGTTCCAAGGAAAATCAATTTTTCAAATTTCATTAGGCTTCCCCAGGCTGTAAGATTTTCATCCCTCAAACGTGTAACACAGAGGAACCAAGGGATTCCTCAGGGACGAGCTGGGCAGGGCACGGCAGAGGAACAGGATCCCGGCAGAGAGGGACCTGGAGACCCGAGCTCGGGGTTCCCTGAGCCGGGCAGGGCTGGCTGAGGGGTCGGTGTCAGCCCTGGGGCTCTGCATTTGTGACCCAGCTTAATGCAGGACCCAGGGTGAGCGAGGGCTGTGCAGGGGGGACAGACTCTGCGGGGGCTGTGCAAGGGGGGACAGCCACGAGGGGTGACAGCAACGAGGGGTGACAGAGGCTGCAAGGGCTGTGCAGGGGGTGACAGCCACGTGGGGTGACAGCCACGTGGGGTGACAGAAGCTGCTGGGGCACATATGCAGCTGATGAAGGATTTGGCATCTCCAGGAGAGGGTCAGGAAGGGCAAATGAGTGAAGCCACCGTGTCTCCAGCTGGCTCTGAGAGGGGACTGGGGATGTTGGGGTAGGCAGTGCCAGCAGAGCCCGGGCAGTCCCAGTGGAGCCCCGGCAGTGCCAGCAGAGCCCGGGCAGTCCTAGTGGAGCCCCGGCAGTGCCAGCCGAGCCCGGGCAGTGCCAGCCGAGCCCCGGCAGTGCCAGCCCCCTCACCTCGGTCGCTCTGGCAGGAGGGGTGGTGCCCGTCCAGCTCCCGCAGCAATGCCCGTACCCGCCGCAGAATGTCCGACTCCACCTCTGCAAGGGACAACGGGGACGTGAGCAGGGCCAGCACCCCCGGGAGCCAGGGCAGGCCAGCCCCGGAGGGGACACGGGGACAGACCCCTCCCCACGGCCCTCAGAGCCCGGGGGAGCCGCGATGGAAACACAGAGCTGTGCCCAAGGCTAAGGAGCGGCTCGGAAATGCCACCCCACGGACTGGTGGCACTGGAGCCAAACTGGGGAACAAAGTGGCCCTGCAGGGACGTGTGGCAGAGGAGCCCTGAGAGCCCTCCTCTCCCCTGCGCAATAAAAACCTCACATTTAATATAGAAAGGAACAAAATTGAAATTAAATGAACAGCCCAGAACCCAGCACACCGGAATTAAGCCATAAAAGACTATTTGAAATTTCCGGCTCTCTTCCTTTATGTGTGTTTGCAATCACCAGGGGAAGCTTTTCCTGAGCACTGATATCAATCCTGTCCTCTCCTCCTGAATCAAAGCAACCCCAGCACTGAGGGTCCCTCACAGGGAGCAGAGCAAAGAGTTTGACCCAGCACAAACAAGAAGCACTTTGATCTAAAAACAGCAAAAAAACCCCCAAAAAACCAAAAAAAACCAAACCAAAACAAAAAAAGCCCCCCAAAACCAGCAACAAACAGCAGTGGCTTAGAAATTGAATAAAACCTTTCAGCATTGACATCCTGACCCTGGGAGAACAACAGCACATCTGAAACAGTGTGAAAATGGAACGTGGGAGGGAAATGGACCAAAATATACAAAAAATAATAATAATAAAATATAAAACTACTTTAAAACTCAAATGTTTTGTCAGATCTGAGTGCCCCACACTCAGCACTCAGTGCCCCTGCACTGATTTGTGCCTCATTTCCCATCTTCCAGCAGCACCTGCCAACACCTTGGAAAGCATCCAGGTGTTTGAACAGAGGAAAATCGAGGTGTAAGAGGTGGGGAAGGGTTAATTCATTGGCTCCCCTCCCCAGCCCCGGGGAACTCAGCATCACCCACCTGAGCTGTCCATGGCTGGGCTGAGGCTGCAGCTCGTGGGGCACTGCACAGAACTCCTCACGGCACTCAGGCATGGCCTCGGATCCGGGACCGTGCCTGCAGAAAATGAGGACACACTCGGCTCAGGTGGGGGTGGAGATCCGGGTCAGAATGAACCTTGAGAGAGCACAAAGTCACCAGCACCCCGTGGGGCAGAGGCAGAGCCCTAAGGGGGAGCACAGGCTGTGTTTGGGGCAGAAACCTCCAGCTCAAAGCTGATCCCATCGGGATATTTGGCCCCCAAGGCCTCCTGCAGCAAGGAGCTCCCCAGAGATGAGCAGCAGCACCACCGAGAAGGGCAGGGTCGGGATCCTCATCCTCCCAGGATTTAAGAAATGTCCAATTTAAGTCAAAATTAGTCTGAAATGCAAGGTTTATCTTATAATAAAAAGGAGGGGAGAAAGCCTGAATTTCCATGACTTAAGATTTTTTTTTCTGTTTAATTTTAAGAATTAGGGCCAAACTCCACCCAGGTAGTTCCTAAATCTGTAAATCTCCATCACCAAATCCAACAACTCTGCAGCTGCAGGAGGAGGGACACGTGTGTGGGGGGGGTTCCTGCCGTCACTCGAGCCCCTGAGCACCCGCAGGCTCCAGGACCCTCCCCAGCCCCGCGTGGGCTCTGTCCCTGCCCTGGGGCTGGTGAAAGGCGCTGGCACTGAGCCATACCTGCGGATTTCCATCACCCAGCAAGCTCCGAGAGCGGAGAGGGCAGGGGAGGAGAGGACACAGTGTGACAGTCCCCTGCCTTCCCCTGGCACCAGCACTGCCCACCCAGGCACCAGCCGGGGTGCTGAGCCCCTGGGCAGAGCGGTGGGCACGGGCGGGAGGCTCCCAGGGCCCGGGCACTGCTGACCACAGCCAGGAACGGGAATGCCAGTCTGGAACACAGGAGACCCTCAACCGAGCCTCCTCATTTCCAAACTCCCGATCGGCCCTTGAGTAGGGCTGCAGAAGGAAGGGGATGGCTCTCCTAATGCCTGCCGCGCACAGGACACCGAACGCCACCAGCGGGGTGGCACGGCGGGGAGGGTGGCACTGCCAGTCCCAGGGTCCAGCTCCTGCTGGGAAAGTCCCGAAGCCACGGGAGACTCCCGGCCCTGCCCTCGGGCTCCTCTGGGCTGCGCTGCCGGAGGAAGCAGCAGCTAAATGCGGCTGAAGGTGTTGGTGACTTCCCACATCCGCATCCTCCTGGCACTGCGGGGGTGGGCGCTGCTGGCCGGCCAGAGCTTCCAAATTTAGCAAAGACCAACGTGAGCTCCGCCTGCCTGAGAAACTCTGGTTCTCGGTTCACCTGTCTGCTCCAAAAGGGCTCCTTTTCCTTCCCGGCAGCAAAGAGCAGCTGAGGCTGAGCCCACGGTGCACCTGCCTGCTCCAAGTGCTTGGGTCTCCCGGGAAAATTTAACATTAAAAAAAAAAAAAAATTAACATAAAAAAAAAAAGTGGTCCAGAGCACTTTCAGAACCCCGTCACGCTGTCTAGGGGAGGACAGGCAGATGTCATGGGAGAAGAGGATGAAAGGACACGCACAGGAACAGGCTCTGAGGAAGAGTGGGGTCAGGCAGGGTCCAGCCAGGCTCCAGCCATTAATTCTCCCTTGGCCAGGAACAGCACAGGAACCCAAATGAGCAGAAATTCCCCCTTTTCATGGGAATGTTTTTTACCAGCAGAAGAACCCAAATAAGAAGAATTTCCCCCTTTCCCTGGGAATGTGTTTTACCTAAATGAGCAGAAATTCCCCCCTTTCCCTGTGAATGTTTTTGACCCAAATGAGCAGAAATTCCCCGTTTTCCCTAGGATTGCTTTTGACCAGCACAGGAACCCAAATGAGCAGAATTTCCCCGTTTTCCTGGGATGTTTTCTGCCTGCTGTGCTCCCCGAGGCTGAGGGTACAGCCCTCAGCACCGGCTGTGCCTCATCCCAGATTCCAGCAGGGCAGGCAGGGATGATGCCAGCCCAGAGGAAGGGGAGAGCTGGGCACCAGAGCCCCCCACTCCAAGCCTCTCTGTCTACCACAGCCCCCTGAAAGGATCCCTGGCACGAGGAACGGGAATTGTCCCCATTTCTGGGGATGGACCCTGCACTGGTCCCAGCACCTGCTAGACTCAGACCCTTCACCTGGGAATTCCTCCATGCTCCCAGAAGGCTGGGAAGGTTCCCTGATCCACACCAGGAGAGTTATCTGCTCTGTCTCCCTCCTCCCCTGGATCTGCTCCCTCCCCTGCAGCAGACACGAGGCACAGCTCATCCCATAACTGGGTATTTTGCTGTCTGCCAGCTCAGCAAGACCAGAGCCTTCTCTGCATTCATCCCACTTCTTTGCAGAACTGCAAATCTCCACTTCCTCTCTGCAATTCTTAAAATACCCATGGCATCAGCTGGATTTTATTTCTTTTGCAGGGAAAATAAATGAAAGAGGAAGGGCAAGAAGAGAAGTCGCAATTCTCTCTTCAGGTTTCAATAATTCCGAGATTCATCGTGAAAAAACCCTAAATGACCCCAAAGCCACCTTCCCCAAGAGTTTGGGGCAGTTTTGGGGAACACCTGGCTCTATTCTTAAAAGTGAGGGACTTGGCAGTGAAAGCGCAGCTCACCCTGGACCCTGGCAGATAAATTCACGGGTTAAAGGGAATTGCAGGGTTAAAGTTCCAAACTACAGGTGCTGGAGATGGCGAGAGCAGGACCTGGCTGAGCAAGGGGTGCTGAGCACCCCACAAGCCCCTCCTCAGCCCTTCCTCTGCAGGGCCCAGGGTGGGGAGCAGTTTGTACCACTGCTCTGTCTCAACCCAGCTAATCCAAGGTGAAGTTCTGCCCCATTTTGGGATCCTCCAGCCTCTGCCTCCCTCTCACCTCTCCATCCTCCCCCTGCTCATCCCACGGAAGCTCCTTCCTCCTAAGAAGGGTTCCCCATTTGCTCGGGCCTGGGTGTGCACAAGGAAATTGTCGCCTCCCTCCAGGGCTGTCCCTTGCCTAATCCTTACAGATAGGGAGGGACACTGAGGACACCACCCCAAGTGCTGGGGACACCACCCTGAATATTGGGGACACCACCCCGAGCACCCTCTCCCTTCTCTGAGGGCTGATCACGAGCACCAAGGACATTGTCACCAGGTGGGTTCCAGCAGACCAAACATCACCCTGTTGACTTTTGGGCCCCTGCAGGGTCCTGGGCAGCAGCAGATACAGCCAGCAGGTCACTGTCCCCATAGGGTCATCGGTCCCCATACAGAGCCCAGGCTGGGCTGGTTCTTGTCCTCCACCAAGGAGGATCCACATTCACTCAGCCCTTGTTAGGAACCACTGGAGGAACAGTTCATCCCTGCAGGAAAGCACGGCCCCGTCCCCACAAAAGGGTATTTCCCTCTCAGCCCCGCGACAGGGATTGAAGATGAGCCCTCTGTGAGGTGAGACTCACCCCTTTGGGGTGAGACTGAAAATCCCATTCAGAGGGACAGGGACGTGTCCATCCAGGTGAGCCACTTCAGCCCCCCGTGGACAGAAGGGACTCAGGCTGGAAATGTGGGGCTGCACAGGCTCCCCAAAGCCCTCCTGCTCTGTCTCACAAGCTACCAACACTGTCACTAAACCCCAACAGCCCCCCGACCAGGTGAAACACGAGAGGCACAGAAATAGCTGAAGCCACGAAAGAAAACCTAACCCCAAACCCTTCTGCGGTGGGAGCTGGGCTGGCAGCAAGCGAGGCTGTCCTGGGAAGCTCCAGCGAGTTCAGGATCCTCTCTCTGCTCCCGGCACACCAAATGTCCGTACCTGGAGCTGGACTGGCCACAGCCAGCCTGGAGGATGTCCCTGTCCCCGTCTGCCCGAGGACAGCGGTGCCACAGCGGGACATGGAGCACATCTCCTCGCTCTCCCTACCCCGGTTATATTTATCCACTCCAAAGCCATCTCCCCACGCCTCCCGCAGCCCGTGTTCAGTTACAAATTCACCTCCCGGGCACGGCTGAGCTTTCCCGGCGCTGTTTATCAGCTCCACCACAGAGAGAGAGGAAAGCCGCGCCTCGCCGCGGCACAGGAGAGCGGCTCTGCCCTCTCCCCATCCCATCTCCGTCACCGCCCGGCCCCAGCCCTTCCCACCCTGCCGCAGCCGCCCGGGCTGGCCCCTGAACAAGCAAGCATCGCACACATACCATGGGCAGGATGGGCGAGAGCTTCAGTGCCGGAGCGTCCTGCGGGAGCCGTGGGGAGTGCTCAGCCCGAGGGGACACACGGGCACATGGGCTCCGAGTGTCGTCACGGCACGACAAATGGCCTGGGGACAGCCCAAATCCGCCACCCCTCCGTGCCGCCCTACCCCGTCTGCCCGCGGCTCCTGCGGGTGAGGCTGGTTCTGAAAGCGGCACTTCAGAGCCTGGCACGGCTCCCGGCACCGGCACGGCTTCCGACACCGGCACGGCCCCCGGCATCGGCACGGCCCCCGGCACCGGCACGGCTCCTGGCACCCGCCCAGCCGGGGCTTCTCCTGGAGCACCGGGATGGGAGGGGATGGGATGGGATGGGATGGCAGTCGGGGGGGGGGCGGGGGGGCGGGATGTGGGAACTGAAGGGCCGTGTCCCCCACGCCACACTGAGGATCTGACATTGCATCCTCTGGGCTGCTCTAAACTGCAGCTGGCAGATCCCAAACGCTGAGAAATGGTTGCAGCAGCATCCCCTACACCCCTAGTCCCTTAATCCCTACACCCCTAGTCCCTTAATCCCCTACACCCTTTAATATCCTACACCCCTTAATCCCCTACACTCCTTAATTCCCTACACCCCTTAATCCCTTCCACCCCTAGTCCCTTAATCCTTTCCATCCCTCACACTCCTCACATCCTCACCCCAGGCCAAGCTGGAGTTGCAGGGGACCCCACCAGCGGCAGATGCTGCATCCTGTTTGCTCCCTCCTCTCAACCCCTGTGAGTCTGCCAGTGCAGCATCCACCATTTCTGGCCTGGATCCTGAGCTCCAGCCCAGCTGCACAGCCCAGGTAGGGAAGCAGGACAAAAGCAGCTGTCCCTCCTCCAGCCCTCCTGGCTGTCCAGGCCACAGCAGCTCCAGGGTCCCCTGAGCACCCTGGCCAAGGATACAGTGAGGGCAGCACCTGCTCCTCTCCCTTCCATCAGCTGCTCCTCGAGCTCTCAATTCAAATGAAAACTGGGCAAAACTTTGGCTATGAGAATCAAACCCCAGAGAAAGATGCCCTGCCTCCTCTCTGGCCCCTTTGGCCACGCTGCTGGAGTGGACAGACCTGCAGGAGAGCTGGGAGCACCACGTGTGCTGGGGCCCAGCCTGAGCCCCACTCCTGCTGTGATTTCCAGTTTTAACTCCAACCCTGGCAGAGCTGTGGCTCCAGACAGCTCTGAGATGAAAGCAGATGCTCTCCCTTGGGCTCTTACTGCCAAGGAGGAGAATCTCGAGCCCAGACTCAGCTTTCCAGCATCTCTTTGAGGCTCTGCTTGCCTGCTGGCTGCTCTGGGAACAGGTCCTGCTAGGGGAGTCCTGCCCGTGGAGGGGAGAGCATGGATGGCTCTTGGGGCCAAGAATGAAACAGGAATTAATTCAGGAATGAAACACCTTCACTGGCACTGCAGCAGGGGTTCACAAGCCCACCAGCTCTGGATGAGCCCCCAGGCCTTTGCTGAAGCTGTGGAAGTCCAGCAGCTTCCTGGACACCACCGACTGTTTGGAGACTTCCTTGCCAACGTCACATTTCATTCTTCCTAAGGAGAGGAAAGAGTTTTCCGGAAACAGCAGCTTTTTAGATTTAGCATCTCTTTCCATCCCCAGAGTCGACTTTGGAAAAACAATCACAAGGAAAAAATATGTGTGATTTGAAAGCCACTGCCAGGATTGTGCTCACAAACAGCCCAGGCAAGCACTGTCCACCTGAGGGGAAATAAAAGCAAGGAGAACTCAGACTTCCAAATGCGGCCAACCTGGGAGTGGCCAGGCTGCTCTCCTGGGGTGGCACAGCTCTTCCCAGTCTCCCTCCAGACCCATTCCCTGGGCATTCCCTCCCTTGGACAGGACTGTCACCAGCAGAGTCACTGGGAGAGCCCTGCTCTGTCACAAACATCTCTGTGTCACCGGCTGGGACAGAATAATGTCCCAGTGTCCTGCTCTGTGCAGGGTCACAGGACTGTCCTCTCCATGGCAGAAAAGCTTCCCCAGCCACTGCTGGGAGCTGCCCTCAGACTGCCACAGTGGAGGGGACTTGGGGAGGGCACAGGGGAATGGCCTGGGGGTGACAGGAAGAGGGTGACAAGAGTGGCCACAGCCACGCTGTGTGTGGCACCCACCCCTGTGGGCAGTGGGTGACCGGGCAGGGGGTGTTCTCTTGGGACTGTGGGGACAGTGGTGTGACAGCTGCTGCAGGCAGGGCACAGAGAAGCCCTTAGCAAGGAAGGGATGAGAGTTTAGGGCTGCACCAGGACAAGGAGGTCAAAAAAGGGGATTTAATTACAGGGTACAGGCACCAACAGCCCCCTGTGCTTTCAGTGAGCACCCCAAAACTCCAGTCTGGCCTGAAGAACTCTAGCACCCTAACCCTCAATCAAACCTAGTCCAGCACAGATCTCTGCCAGCAGCTCCCCTGCCCCCTCCAGGTTTGCAAAGCGTGTCACACCTCAGAACAGAGTTATGACTCAGCCAGCTCAGACCCTGCCTTCAGAACAGCCAGGAGCAGCAGCACAGCTCAGCAGAGCCTGAAAGCAACAGGGAAAGCAGCCCCTGAGAGCGCCCAGGCCGAGTGGGAGCTGTGCCAACCTTAGGAGGGCAGGACTTGGCCAAAACAAGGCTCCTCTGGGGTCAGTGCCCTCCCAAGCACTCGGAGCAGAGAAGTCCAAGGGAAAATCAGAGTTTGGGTGCTGCGGAGGTGTCCTGCCCACATCCCACGACATCCAGTGGATGAAAAGTCACCGTGGCCTTGTCACAGCAGCAGCTGTGCCCAGAGCTGGGGGGGAGGTGGGAGCCTGAATCCACCTGAGCTGGGGCACGGGGAAAGCCCTGCCAGGGGACACCCCTGTCACACGGGCAGTGACACCACATCCCAGCAGGGCTGCTTTGAGCTCATGGGATCCCAGGGGGAACTCTCTGAAAACAGCAGAGAATGTGGGAGCTGCTGCAGCAGCGATGTGCAGGTTGGTGCCTGAACACGAGCCAGTCACGGCCCTTCCATGAGCAGAGGTGCTCTCATTTGGAGGCAAAGTAAGAAAGCAGTGTTTGTGTCACAGAACAACCTGCACAACAAAACCACTGCTGGCTGCCTGTGCCCTCTCACTAGTGCGAAGACAAGTCTGTGAGATATCAGAGGTGATAAACCAGTCCTGGAAACCCAGGGGGTTTGTTCCTGTGTTTCAGGCTTAGTCAAGAGGAAGAATCCCAGAATCGCAGAATCGTTTAGGTTGGAAAAGACCTCCAGGATCACCAAGCCAAAGATTTCAGTGAAAGACAGAAAGGAAAAAGAGCTGAGCTGCGCTGCACAGATGCTTGGAGAGCTCCCGTGGGAGGGAACAGCACTGCGGGGAGGTAAATGGCCATGGTGAGATGGCTCTGAGCAGCCAGAGGATGGAGGAAGTCACTCAGGGCAGCAGGACTAAGCCCTGCCTGCTGCAGATTGGCTCACGTGCATTTGTTCGCGGCTCGGGCCTCGAACATGCAGATTTTTGCTTCCTTTCTGGACGGGGCCGTGCTCTCTGCTCGTTATCGCCGCTGCCATCGCTCTTTATTGCCCTGTCACTGCTGCTCGGGGCCCCAGGGGACAGTCGAGGCGCCGGGCCAAGGCCAGGGGAGCTGGGCAGCCACACGACAGCACACACAGCCAGTGCATGTGCATCACCCCCGGCCGTGCCAAAATCCCCAGCGCAGCCCCCCGGGGGTGCCGGGGGTGGCACTGGGCAGGTCACTGTCCCTTGCAGCTGTTGTTCCGCACGGAACAAAGCCAACCAGCAGGGGCTGGTGCCGCAGCAGCCCCGGGGATGGGGTGGAACTCACTCCCTCACCCAGCAGGGCTGCAGGGGTGGCCGATGGCCCGGGATGGGGCCAGAGCAGCGGCGACACCAAACCCAGCCCCTCCGCGGCACAGACAGCAAAATCCCTGCGCTGCTGTCTGGGACAGGCTCCAGGGCAAACCCAGTGATCCCGCCGGCTGGCAGGGGAGCTGGCACAAATATTCCTGTAGCAGCACATTCCCGATCTCCTGCACCACCGCTGCTCCCTCCCCTCGTTCGTCCCGAGAAAAGGAATGGCTCTGTCCCCATCCGTGGCTTTCCAGGTTCTGTCACCCCTGGCATGCAGCGCTCGGGCAAAGGATGCCAGTCCCGAGCAAAGCGCTCCGCAGTGACAGGACCCGAGAGCCGCGGGGCCGCTCCGGGGAGCGGGGACACAGGGCAGGCACAGGATTGCCCAAGGCCGGAGCCGGCAGCACCGCCCCCTCTGGGGCTCTTACCTTGCTCAGGGAGGGCACCGGGGGCCCAGGGAGTCACAGCCCCCCCCCGAGGGCCCGGCTAGCGCGGGGGACACAGCAGGGTCCCACAGGGAACATGGGGGTGCCGGCGGAGCCGCGGCGGCTCCCGGGCTCTGCAGCCGCTTCAAAGCGTGCAGGGCAGAAAGGGAAGCGCCGAGTTATTTCGAGACGACTTCCTCTTTCGCAGAGAAGTCCCCCCTTGACAGAGCTGTCTCCGTGTGGGTCTCTGTCGCCTGGCGTTCCCCGGACGGGCGGGAGCAGGGAAGGAGGCTCAGCCCTGCCCTGGGTCCAATCCCTTCAAACCAGCCGCGCCGGTCGGGCCGCTCAGGGGTGACTCTGTGAGCCCTGGCACCGCCCCGGCACCGCCCCTGGCCCTGGCCCAGCCCCTGCTGTGCTGCCAGCCTTCCCAGACAGGGACAAGCTCCGCGCTGCTGCTGCCCAGTGAGGCGCAGAGAGCCTGGATCTTCACACGTCCCAACAAACAGCGTTGCTCCGGGACACCAGGAGTCCATCCAAAGACACTTTTCCAGCCGCCCATTCCAGGCGCGGTGTTTGTGCCCCTGCCTGCGCCTCCCGCCCGCAGAATCTCCCACATCTGCTTTTGCTCAGAGCCCCTGGGGCTGCCCCGGCAGCTCTCTGCCTGCTGCCAGCTCGGGATGCAGCCTGGCCAGGGATGGCGGGCCCCTCTGGACCGTGTTCCTGGAGCGCTCTGACCCTGCCCGGACCGAGCCCGGAGCGC